GGAGGCAGGGCTATAACTGAGCAGTAGGACAGAGAGCAGAGTCAGAGCCCCCTGGGCAGGCCAGAAGAGGGACCCTGCTCAGCTGACTCTTCCCAACTGCTACCCTTGGTACAACCAGCATGAGCCACCTGCTGCAGAACAGGGGCTGGACACGGAGGCAGTTTGTGGAGGGAGAATGGGCAGAGGTGTGCATGTCCATTCAGTAGAAGGGCAAAGAGGCCCACATGTAGGCCTATGATCAGACTGGAGCCTGGCTCGACTGAGGCCCTCCAATCCAAACACATTAACCAGTCACCTAATGCGACCTCCAGCACTGGCCTGGAGTGCTAAAGTGAGTCAGACCTGGGAATCCCCAATGGGGAGGCAGCCTTGAGAGTTTGGCATAGGAAAGGAAGAAGAGCTGAGCCACTGGAGGCTGAGTGGCTGAACAGGGCAGGGATTCCCAGCAAGAATGAGTTTGGTCTGAGGGTTGGGAACGTGTCTGGCTAGGGCTCTGGGGTATTGACAAGTCACCCAGCCTGGTCAGAAGGGCCTAAGTCACCAGCTGGGATAGGAAGCTGAATCAGAGGGGGCAAGCCTAGAGCTCATGGAGGAGGCTGGAGGGGTCTGACCTATGGATGGAACTGACTGGGGGTGGGGTGTGAGTTACAGCTCCAGGGAATTGTCCTTGACCCATGTTTCAAGGAGCTGGACACAGGAAAGGCGGACCTCTGATGGGGTCAGGGTCTGTGATCCAGTGACTAGCAGAGAGGCCTCCTCTTCCCTGATGCCTCCCAGACAGGGGCCTCAGAAAGCTGGTGCTGGGATTTTTGGGGTGTGGGTGGGCAGGGACCTCAGAGAACTCAGGGTTCTCCCCACTCACCTCTCTGATCTCGCCTGCAGGCCAGCAGCACAGCGTTGCTTTTGCCCGGGTGAACCCCCTGAGGAAGGTGCCGGGCCTTGAAGGATGGGGACTTCACCTTGGCTGAGAGGTTACCGGTCCCTGGGCTGCTGCCAGGCCTTGTGGGGCCAGTCAATCGTCTGTCTGTTCACTGTTGATGGCTTGGATCATGGACTGTGGGCCCTGCACCAGCCCCAGGGTGAAGAATGGGCTGAGGCAGGCAGAGGTACCCAGTGTTGAGAGGGGCTATAGAAGTCCCCTCCTGCATTGTACAAATGAGGAAACTGAGGCTGGAGGAGGGGAGGGACTTGCAGAAGGCCAAAGGGCCCAGTCTGCTCCAGGCC